CCGTTGCCGGACACGGAAAAAAAAAAAAAAAAAAAAAAAAAAAAGAGTAGGTTCTAGAATCAGACTGTTGGATTTGATTTCTAGCCCTCCACTTTCTCTACCAGCTGGGTGACCATGAGTAACGACCTCCATGCTCTGTGCCTCAGTTTTGTCTTCCTAATAATGAGTACCTACCCCAAAAGGTGATTATAAAGATTAAATGAGTTAATGTGTGTTGTGTATCTGGCAAATAATAACTGCTCAATAAACACTAGTAATTAATGGAGTCTGTGAAAACACTTAAAGATACAAATTCTATCAGAATTCTTAGCTTTATCATGACAACATAATGTTTTGTCTATTACGGCTCTTATGGACTTTTCCTACACCCTTATCAAAGTTTCATGTTGGTTTGGAATGATTTCACTGATCTGCTGAACATAAAAGGGTGGGGTTGGCAAACATACAGTACATGGTGTGATACTAAATGTTTTAAAAGCATAATGGGCTAGAAACGTTTTAGGCACAGTCCCTCCCACACGGGCGTATCACCAGACATGGGTTTCAACAAAGAGGAAATGCTCTTTGGCCTTCTTCAAATACCGAATGGTCTCATTTGCCATATGTTCTCACTGAACACAGTAGAGGACCTTCTTGTGCTAGTTAAACAAAAAGAAAGTCTTGTTTATCTTCACATTTTTTTTTTCAAGCAAGAACACTATTTGTGTGCCTAACAAAAATGGAAAGGAATTTTGCTTTGATTACTCTTTCTGCACTCAGTAATGGCATATTGCCCTCTTCTCAGTGATTACCATCTGGAGAGAAGCCATAATTCTGCTAAAGTTAATTCAAGTTAGACTTGAGTTTCTCTCAGTCTGACTGAGTGTTTCCTGTTTGGGAATCCAGTCTTCAAACAACATTAGTTGGTATAGTGACTTATGTTGGTTTCACTGAGTCTTTTTCTGAAGAATGTGTTCTTGCTAAATTAATTTGAATCTTTTGTGGTTTCATTTGAAATGAAGACGATGCTCTTAAAAGTAACTTCCAACTCCAGTACCACTTCACTTTCTCCTCCAAATATGTACTAAAAATTAAGCTTTTCATGGTCCAATGTCTATCACCAGGGAATTTGCATATCTGTTGAATATATAGTTATTCAGCACTGATAAGTCAGAGTATTGGCTTTGAACTGTTTTTTTGTACAATTGTTCATTCTCTTGTAGTGACTTGGATATGCCATTTGCCAAATGGACCAAGG